AGTCTGTTTAGTGTCTGATTCCTGATTTTGACTCAGGTCATGATCTCATGGTTTGTGAGATTGAGCCCTGTGTTGGCTTGCTTGGGATTCTTTCTCTCACTCTCTCTCTCTCTGCCCCTTCCTGCTTGTGCTCTCTCTCCCTCTCAAATAAATAAACATTAAAAAAAAAAGTCTCTAATAGGTCCACTATCAAGTCTTATTTTTTTAAGTTTATTTATTTTGAGAGAGAGAGAGAGAGCACAAGTGAGAGAAGGGCAGAGAGAAGGAGAGACAAAATCCCAAATAGGCTCCACACCATCAGCACTGAGCCCAGTGCTGGGCTTGAAAGTCACAAGCTGTGTTATCATGACCTGAGCCAAGATTAAGAGTCTATCACTTAACCAAAAGCACCTCCCAAGCGCCCCATCCATCAGATCTTTTTTAGGGACATTTTTCTGTTTATTTTTTTCCTTTGAATGGGCCATACTTTTTTTCTGTTTCTTTGTATGTCTTGTGATTTTTTTTTTTGGTTGAAAACGGGACATGTGACTCTAATAATGTAGTAACTCTGGAAATCAGATTCTACCTCTTCATACATGTTTGTTTGTTTTTAAGTTATTGTAGGCTATTTTTGTGCCAGTGATCAGTCTGCGGTGTAAACTTAAGGTCTTCTTACATCATTTCTAAGCCCGTGCATTTTCTGGGGCATTCACAGTGACTTTTAATTTCTTCCATATATGTGGTTGCTTTTAAATGTCCTAGTCTTTAGTGTGTTGCTCTCAAAAGGGAAAAGGAGAAAAATGAATGGAGGAAAAGAATGGTTGCTGGAGCTTTAAATCCTCTGGAATTCACTTCAGCTGGATGGTGAGAGGTTTGCAACGATGTGGAGAGGTGGAACAGCAGTGGCTGGCCACCTATTGGCACCTCTGTGATCATAAGTAGCAGTCAGTGATCATAGTACAGAGTTTCCAATATTTGGATGACAGGTGCTTTTTGCTTAGCCTGGTTTCCATAAGTTATGTGCAGGCCCCCTAGGAATATGTGCATAGCTGGCTGCCAGAGGTTGGGGTATAAGGGAGAGGCATGTTGTATGTCTGTGTGCATGCATGTGTGTGTTTGTGTAAGGGTGTGGTTGGGTAGCTGCTTTGTGCTATGAGCTGAAATGGACTGAAATTAATTGCAGTTTGCCATCCAACCCTTCTGGAAGTGTGAGCCTTCCACGTTGTGAGCATTCTAAAATAGTTACATCAGACAGATTTTGCCAGTATAATGGTTATCTGGGTGGGGAGATAGATTCCTTTCTACTCCACCATCCATCTTCCTAGCACCCCTGCTGTTCAATTTTAAATCATTTCACCATAGTGAAATTAGTCCTGCAAAGTTGATTTACTTTGGAATTTGTGGGCTATCTGATTAATTTAAATATAGTATAGTCATTAAGAAAGAGAGTTTTTGTGTGTCTGGCTGGCTCCATCAGCAGAGCATGTGACTCTTGATCTTTGGGATTGTGAGTTCAAGCCTCACCTGGGTGTAGAGCTTACTAAAAAAAAAAGGTTTTTAAGGTAGATACTGGTTTAGTTCCAGGCTATACTGCTTACTAATTTTGTTCGTTTCTTTTTATCTTGGGCAAAGTACTTCTTCAACCTTTAGTTTCCTTATTTATAAGATAGGAAAAATAATAATACCCTTTTTAAAGAGCTTTCTAAGGACTGCATGAAGTAATAGAAGTAAAGTACTCAACATCACTACTGGTGCTTAGCAAGAATAGTGTAGCTCTCCATCTTCCTCTTACTACTAATGGTCCATTTCCTGTTATGCTTCCTCAAAATACTGTGATAACATATACTACTAGTATGCTGAATCTAGATCTTTAGATTAAAAAAAATTTTTTTTAATGTTTTTTATTTTTGTGTTTGAGAAAGAGAGTGAGTGCAAGTAGGGGAGAGTCAGAGAGAGAGGGAGACTGAGGATCCAAAGCAGGCTCCATGCTGACAGCAGAGAGCCTGATGTAGGGCTCGAACTCATGAACGGTAAGATCATGACCTGAGCTGAGGTCAGATGCTAAACTGAACTACTCACGTGCCCCTAGACTTTATTGTAACTCAAAGTTTCAAAATGACAAAAATACCGTGTTTTTTTGCAGATCTTTTAAAAACAAATAACTCATCTTTTTGAATGAAAATGCCCTGTGAAAGTTTCATAGTTAGATATTTTTGTTATTTACACTTCAGGGCTAAAGCCATGTAATTTTATGATTAAAATGTTATTCAAATTATTATTCATGCCAAATTATTTTGACCACTTGGGGTTTAATAGCATCATTTTTCAGTATTTTTGATTTTAAGTTAAGAGGATTGGAAATTAAAGCAAGGAATTAAAAATGTGCATGTGAGGGGCGCCTGGGTGGCTTAGTCGGTTAAGCGTCCGACTTTTGCTTAGGTCATGATCTCACGGTTCGTGGGTTCGACCCCCGCGTCAGGCTCTGTGCTGACTGCCAGCTCAGAGCCTGGAGCCTGTTTCAGTCTGTGACTCCCTCTCTCTCTGACCCTCCCCTGCTCACGCTGTCTCTCTCTCTCCTAGAAATAAATAAAAAATATTAAAAAAAAAATGCATGTGAGTTACTGATGAAGTGATAAAAATTACCTGGTATGCAGATAGATGCTGAGAAATAAATAGCTTGCTGGACTAAAGTGACTTCAGATTGTCCTTTTCCCTTCTACTTGTGTTCTTCATGAGAACATGTATTTCAATAGAAAGAAACCTAATTATTCATGAGCAAGTATCAGAACCATACAAATATTTTGCAGTTATATATAATGCAGAGCAAATAGAGTACATATTTTTAAGTGAATGCAGTTGGATCATTTCATCTTCCTTTGACTCATTAGTTACTTTGGATGGCAGGAGAGTCCCCCTTCCCCCAGTAGAGATCAAGAAAGAAGAGATGTAAGTATGAACTACTGGGATTAGTTAATTCTTAATTGTAGGAATGTACAGTTTTTCTATAGGGACATAGTGTTATTTGAAACAGTTAAGGAAGAAGAAGTCTGTTAGCAAGTTGTTCATTTATCCTTTTAATAGTTATCAAGAACCAAATATGTGCCAGACATGGCCAGTGTTGGTTTGCACAATCCTTAGTTCTTGTAGCCATTGAGTTTACAGTGTAGTGGAGGGAAAATGATATGTTTGGGGGAGCTGTGATAGCTAAGTACTAGGGGGGTGGATAGCTAATGCAAAGTTTCAGGGAGATGTCACAAAAAGACTCACAAGGAATGAAGCCTGAATGATTGGTAAGGTATGGAGTGTGTGATCTGGACCCAACTCCTCTTTTCTGTAGAGATGTTCTGCAGGCATTTCAGGCAGCAGGACCGAGTAGTAGATATTTTCTGACATAGGCCACTTAATAATAGTGTGTTTTTGGACTTCTTATTTTGCCATTTCTAAGGTTTTCTAAGTCAGTTCAGATCCAATAGTCACTAAATGAGTTAGATACCTTAATAATAGAGGATAAATCATCCTGTAACATGAAAGATAGCATTATTAGGATACGTAAAGCAAACTTATTTGTGTCAAGTAGCAAAATATTTAATTATAGCTAATAGGATTCTTATGGCCTCCTATTATGTAACATTCATTTTAGAGATACTCATGGAGTGTGTTTGAAGTGAGGTAGGAACTATGATTTCCTTGAGGGTTGGGCTGAGAATGTGATTGTAGTAGAGTTAATCAAGGCTTCGATTTGTGTATTTTTTTCCTTTGCTTTATGTATGACTTTGCAATACCAGTTTCTTTTGGCTTAGAGGTGAAACAGCTGGTACCAGTGAAGGCAGTGCAATGAATTAGATTGCCTGATTAGTAAAGTGGGAAACTGTTTGGATCTATGATGTCTAAGCTTTCTGTGTAATTTGACCCCTCAGTTCTTTTTATCTTTTTATTGTCTATATACCAAAGTGGTGCATTCTTGCCTGTCCACCTGTCCTTATTTATGTTGAGGATTGGTTTTTGTAAACATGATTTTTGTTAGTATGTACTGATCAGGAATTCATTTCCCTGATTGTGTTCTTAGAAGCAGCTAAGGTCCGGGGCGCCTGGGTGGCTTAGTCGGTTAAGCGTCCGACTTTCGCTTGGGTCATGATCTCGCGGTTGTGGGTTCGAGCCCCGCGTCGGGCTCTGTGCTGACTGCCAGCTCAGAGCCTGGAGCCTCTTTCGGTCTGTGACTCCCTCTCTCTCTGNAAAAAAAGAAGCAGCTAAGGTCCTGGGTAGAAGAAACAAGTACATACTTGTAGTGGGTTCTACAGAATTCTACAGCAGATTCGTTAGTGGATTCTACAGAAAAGAAACCTTAACTGCTCAGTGAAGGGCTTTTTTTTTTTTTTTTTTAAGATTAAGACAGCAGATTAAAAATGTGAGCCCCATTAAAAATGTGAACAAATGAATGGTTTGTTCATTTTATATAAACTTTTAGTCTCACTTGGATTATATATTGGTTACAATTGTATTCAACAGGCAACAGTTGGGAATAAATGCCAGTCTATTTCTGAGTCTTGCTTAAAGAGTATTGTGTGCTGAACATTAAAATGAAGGTCTTTGGCTTTTATTTTACTTGGACATTAAAAAAAAATCTAAACTAGAGAATGTGTAATATTGATTTTTCTTATTGCATTGTTGGAGAAAAGAGTATAAACATTTTAAGGCACTTCAAGGACTTTACTCTTGAGGAAGTGTGTAGATTGAACTTCTTTTCAAGTTGTAAGTAATGTGCTAAATACAGGTAAACTTGGAAAGGGTCAGTGATCCCATTCTTCACTCCTGTGTTGTCATAATGGGATAAGAAATGAACTATATTTGCTGAAGAAAGTAGGGAGAACTAAGATTTCTGTCCAGTAGGGTGGAGGAGCTGCTAGAAGGGTGGCATAGGGCTGCCAGTATTGATGCCAGAGTTAAACATTGACTAAATGGCTCAGAAAAAAAGTCCAGATGCCCCCATGTAAAACATTATTCAATGTATGGTGAACTAATAGGTAAAAAAGAAGGTTGTTGGAATTGTAACTGTTATATTTTTACTATTTTTAACATCTTTCTTTTTTTTTAACGTTTTAATTAGCAATAATCGCGCCTCGGATAAACCTCATTGGCTACGATACTGCCACTGCGCAAAGCTTTTTTTTTTAATGTTTTAAAATGTTTATTAATTTTGAGAGAGAGAGACAGAGTGCCAGCAGGGAAAGGGCAGAGAGAGAGGGAGACACAGAATCTGAGGCAGGCTCCAGGCTCTGAAATGTCAGCACAGAGTCCGACGTAGGGCTTGAACCCACGAGTGGTGAGATCATGACCTGAGTTGGATGCTCAACTGACTGAGCCACCCAGGTTCTTCCCCGCCCCCCCCATTTTTTTCTTAAGGAAGTCCTTGGTATTCTGGTAAGCGTGAATTAATTAGCAGGCAAATATGGGAAATGTAAATGTCTACTTTGGGAAAGGGAGACAGTTATAATATGTAGGGTAAAAAAAGCTGAGACTGCGAGGATAGATTTAAAATACTAAATTGGAAGGAGTAGAGCTAGAGGAGGAACTACTGGGACTTGGATATAAACCACTGTTTCAGATTGTGCTTTCATTTTGGAGAACAACCTTTGCCTTTGCATTTTTTGCTCAGATCTAGGAATGCATGAAGAACGATCCCTCAACTTTAGGCTTTTAGATATTTGAAGATGCCAGAGTAGCCATAGTATATGAATTCTGCATTACACATTTCATCCACAGGCAGTCATAATTAGCCCTATCAGCAGTCTCTGTGGCATGCATAGCAGTGACCCTGATTTTGAAATATTTGTTAATAATATGTACCAGAGTCATAAACTAGATTCAGTTGATTAATTTTTAAATGTTACAACCTAATTCTTTAAATTGGAAAGGGCAGTACCAAAATAAAAAATTTAAGTGTTAGAGTTCAGTGGCATTAATTGCATTCACAGTGTTTGCAAGTATCAGCACTATTTCCAAAATTTTTCATCACTCCATGTAGAAACTTTGTAATCATTGAGCAGTAATTTCCCATTTCCTCCCTTATTCCTAGCCCCTAGTTACTACTAATATACTTCCTGCCTCTAATGAATTTTCCTTTTCTAAATATTTCATGTAAGTGGAATCATACAATATTTGCCCTTTTGCTTCTGGCTTATTTCACTTACCATAACGTTTTCAAGGTTCATCCATATTCTTCTATATGTATCAGAACTGTATTTCCTTTTATGGCTGAATAGTAATCCATTGTATTTATCCATTTATTTGTGGGTGGACACATGGGTTTCCACCTTTTGGCTGTTGTGAATAAATAACACGGTAATGAATATCGGCATACCTGATATTATAAAATTACCTGTGATACCTTGCAGATACCTTCTTTAGTCCATCATCTCTCATGACTGTGTTTTCTGGCCTTGCAAGAAAGTTTCATCTTTAGGTAGTAAAATGTACTAATCCTTTCTCTTATTGTCCCTGTATTTTTGAATCATTCTTGAAGACTCAATATTAACAACATGTTCTAAAAGCTGCAATGCCCAGTTCCATGAACTGTGTGGTACTCAGTAATTAAGGATGTACTGACTAAAAATTATGCAAAGTAAACTTCAAAAAATAATTGACAAACATAACAATACAGAATCTTTAAGGAGAAAAGCAATGTGTCGCAGTTATAACTACAAAATTCAATGATGTGCCCCAACTTCACACAATATACAAATATTAACTCAAAATGGATCAACCACCTAAATATAAGATCTAGAACCATAAAACTCTTTATAAAAACCTCAGGAACAAATATTCCTGATCTTGGATTCTTGGCATTGGATTATTAATATGACACCAATAACAAAAGCAACAAAAAGAAAAAATAAAGTGGACTTCTTCAAACTTAAAAAATGTTATGCATCAGAAAACATTAAGAGGTTAAAGTACAGTAACCTGGTAGAAAAATGATCAAAATACGTAAGGGATGATTCCCCCCAAAACATATAAAATGGCCTCTAAACTGGAAATGATTTCAGACTTGTAATTAAAAAAATGCAAATTTAAATACATTGAGATACCACTTTTCAGTTTTCAGATTGACAAAAATTAAAGTATAACAATCCATCCTCTTGGCTAGGCTGTGAGGAAACAGACACATACATTCCTGATGAGAGGGCACAACCCCTCCTGAGACTTGGGAGTATCCAGTGGAATCCCGCGTATCCATTTGCCATTTGGCCCATCAGTTTCCATTGTAGGAATTTTCCCTGAAGGTGCAACGCCAACAATATGAACGTCCATATGTAAAGTTATTTATGGATCATTGTTTGCAATTTCATACATAGGAGAGTGGTGGAATAAAATATGCTACATCCACCTAACTGTACTCTGCAGCTCTGAAAGGAAAAAGATCTCTAAACTGATGGATCTCTAGGATATATTTTAGAGAAAAAGATCATTTATAGATTGTTAGTCTAAAGAAAAGAGGAAATAAAATCTACTCATAGCTGCTCATTTGTGCAAAAGGAACATAGGAAAGATAAACTAGAAACTAATGAGACTGGTAACAGAGGGTTGGTAGAGATTGAAGGAATTGAAGGGATAGTGTTTGACATTAATCTGATTTTCCTGTTTTGGATAGCTTTGAGTATTGGGACTTAGTTCAGGTGCCATCTACTCAAAATTAACAAAGATCTGGGGAATATCCCAAACAGAAACAAGTGAACCTAACTATTTCATTTGAATAACAACCACTCTGAAGTGTGCATGGAAAGAAGTAACCTGAGAAATTTTGGAGCAGAGGATTTTGACTGTATAAGATTATTGACAAAAAAGAACTGTACACAAATATTGTACTCTAGTTAGTAAAAAGTTTGTTTACAAGGGTATGGTTAGAACTCCAAAACTATTCTATGTATTCTAGATTAGAGCAAATAAGTATATGTAATGGAGATAACAAAAATCAGGCTTTTCACTGTTAAAGAGTTACAAATAAGGGAAAAGGGTGAAGTGAAACCTCTATGGAGTTAGATTAGAATTGGTAGCTTCAGGGGGTGCCTGGGTGGCTCATTTGGTTAAGCAACTGACTTTGGCTTAGGTCATGATCTTGAATTCATGAGATTGAACCCCATATCTGGCTCTCTACTGTCAGTGGGGAGCCCACTTGGGGTCCTCTGTCTCCTCTCTGCCCTCCCCAGCTAGAGTTCTCTCTCTCTCTCAAAAAATAAACATTTAAAAAGTTATTAAGAAAAAATAATTGGTAGCTTCAGTATGGACTAAATGTGAACGTATTTATAGGTAAATATTAAAATTAGTATTTTTGTGTTGTGAAAGTCTTGAAGCCATGCTACTTCTGAATACTGTTTGTCAGTAAAAGGGAAAAGACTTCCTAGAGAGACGGCTAATTCCAGTGCTGGGGCAGAGAAAATGCAAAGATACGCTGGGAACATGTTATGGTGCCAGAAAGTGAGGAAGTGGTTAAAATTGGTGAGAACATGTCACAAGGACATATGAGGCAGCCTATTCAAGGCTCCACACTGGCCAAAACTGGGATAGTTTGAGCAACAAAATACTAATGGATTTTACAACCTGTAATAAAGTAAGAATCCATGGTATAAAAAGAGTATTTTTATTTTTACAAACATGCACACATAATGGGAAGAAGGGAAAGTTATTTATTACAGTAGAATTCCATTTAATACAGACAGTATGATGGAATTATAAAGATCACCATTTGGTAACTACCATTGTGTTAATTGTTTCAGGCAAGAGTTACCTAGTAAACAAGAGTATAAGGTAGAGGCTATTTTATTAATCTCAAAGTATCTACCTACAAGGAACTTGTAGGGGAAAACATACCAAGGGGAAAATACTAACTTGATAGTGGGAAAATCTTTCAAGTACCACTTTAACCAAATGTTCAAAAATAGCATCGTCATTAATGGGACAAAACCTCATTGTATTAGGTTGGCTCAGGCTGCTATGATGGAATACCATAGACTGGGTGGCTTGAAAGACAAATTGAGAGCGTAAGTCTAATTTCGGGTGCTGGCAGGTTGGTTTCTGGTGAGGCCTCAGTGTGCACATGGTTGCCTTGTTGCTGTTTCCTCATGGCATTTGTGTGTGCTTACTGCGGGTGTGTCTACCTTTTATAAAGACACTAGTCCTACTGGATTAGGGCTCCACCCTTATGTTCTTATTATTTACTAAAAAAATTTTTTTAATCTTTATTTTTGAGGCGGTGGGGAGGAACAGAGAGAGAGGGATACTCAGAATCCAAAGCAGGCTCCAGGCTCTGAGCTGTCAGGAGAGAGCCTGAGCAGGGCTCAGAACTATGGACTGCGAGATCATGACCTGAGCTCAAGTCAGATGCCCAACAGGCTGAGCCACCCAGGCACCCTTTATGTTCTTCTTAATTACCTTCCTAAAGGTCCTGTCTCCAAATACACTGACACTGTGGGGGGTTACAGCTTCGACATGTGAATTTTGAGGAGGCAGTTCAGTCAATAGCAAATATCATATGCCTCTTGATATGTTTTGAGAAGGATGTAACATTCTGTGGTGTTTCCCCTGCCTCCAGAATGTGTCACCTGAATCTAATTAGAAAAATCAGGCGATCTCAATTATAATTTGTTAATTATAATTTATGCTACAGAATAACCTGCTTCTAATCTTCTCAAATGTCAGGGTCATGAAAGACAAACTAAGGAATTGTTCCAGATTTAAGGAGACTCTTAGAGATAATAGTTAAAAGCAACTGTGAGTCTGGATTGATTTTAAAAAGCCCAAAAAACAAAACAGTTTATTTAATCAAATCAAGATTGTATTAAGGCCCAAACACTGTAATAATTGGTTAACATTTCTCTTAAATACCTTAGTCCTCTCTTTTCCTTGTAGCTTATTGACAAAATCAGGTTGTTTGTCATGTGGAATTTCCCACAGCTTGGAATTTGCTGAGTACATTCCTTTGAAGTAATTTAATATGCTCCTCTATCTCCTGTGTTTCCTGTTTAATCATGGATAGGTTAAGAGCACTACCTGTGCTCTTAACACTACCTGTACATTGTCATTTTGGGAGATTTTTAAAAAGACCTGTTCCTGGGATCTCTACATCCTTGGGACCCACCATCCCTAGGACTCTGGTTTAATTGGTCT